ATAATCCTATCTTTTCAAATAAGTCCGATACTGAAAAACTACTGGTCGCCGTGCGGCCTTCAACAAAACAATTTCCCCCAAACCGTGTAGTCAGCTATAAACGGCCCAAACATGGAAAATTTGAAAAAATTTAAACAAGAAAACTAATGGCCTTATTCATAACAATACAATTTACAAAAAAAAAAAACAATATGACAGTCATGAACCAACCACAAACACGGTGAAATTGTAAAATTCAGTTAAATAATGGCTTAACTCATTGGATCGATACGAAGCATAAAAACAATAGACACAAAGCACCGATATATAAGTAATTGGAATGAGTGTCGTAATATCATCTACGACTCACTTCGTGCTTACTGTTTGAAATGGATAAAACGGGAAAAAGCTGACAAAAAATCTGTGGACTCTTTTTTTAATTCAGTAATGAAGATAGTTGATATACGCAGACAACATTTTAAATGACATTTTACTCTAAACAACAACCATAAAAATCCTATTTCTCGTATCAAACATAAACTAGAGAACTAGCCAAGGAATTTGCTATTGTCCCGGCTGATAAAGCTAATAATATTATAGTTTGACGTAAATTTTACATTGAGGTTCTGCAAAAGGAAATCACCAATTCACCAACATTCCAACTGACTTCATTTTCAGAAAACGATATGTAACAAACATAAACTATTAGCTACTTCTTTACAAGCAGAACCAAATACAATGAAAGTCCCTTGTTGACTATGTACTGGCTTCCGAAGCTACACAAATCACCTTATTTCGTCTTCAAGTCATTGTTCCACTACTAAATTGTCTATTCTACTTACTAGTACACTTGGTACAATCAAAAACCTGATAATAAATTGTTCAAATAAGGCCTTTGAAAATAGTGGAATTAATTACTTTTGGAGTGTCAAAAACTCGTTGGAAGTACTTGATAAATTGCATGCGTATATTGGTGATTTTGAATCTGTTCAAAGTTTTGATTTTTCTACCCTATATACCACTTTGCCTCATATTCTTATTAAGAAAAAATTCACACACCTAATTAAATGGGCATTTAAAAAGTCGGAATGCGAATACATATGTTCAAACTCTTTTAGGTCATTTTTTAGTAGCAACAAACAAAAGAACTATGTCAATTGGACATGCTTTGATACTATATCTGCCCTTGAATTTTTACTTGATAACATTTTTGTTCGCTTTGGAGATTCCATATATCGTCAAGTTATCGGAATTCCAATGGGGACTAACTTGCACCACTTATTGCGGACCTATTTTTGTATTGTTACGAGTTACAATTTATGACTAAAATCAGCAAAGACCCATCGAAACAACATCTTATACAAAAATTCAACAATACTTTTAGATATTTGGATGATATATTGGCTCTCAATAATGACGACTTCAGTATGTATACTAAAGAAATTTATCCTGTTGAACTTACTTTAAATAAAGCTAATACTAACAATGACCACTGTCCTTTCCTCGATCTTGATATCTATATCATTAACGGGAAGCTTAATACAAAAATTTATGATAGAAGAGATGATTTTTCATTTCCTCTCGTTAATTATCCATTTTTAGATGGTGACGTTCCCTTGTCACCATCTTATGGTGTTTATATATCTCAACTTGTACGATTCGCTCGTGTATGTAACAACGTATTAGATTTTAACGAGAGAAATTTATGTATTACTGAAAAATTATTACACCAGGGTTTTCGATATCATAAACTAGTCAAAACATTTACTAAATTTTATCATCGGTATAAGGACATCATTCGTAAATATAACTCAACATGCAGACATCTTATACGTTCGGGTATTTCACATCCAATCTTGATGGTAATATTTTACAAAGCACAAAAATGTCAGTATTCACCTCAAAAGCTAACAAAACATTTAAACAGACTTATTAAGAAGGGATATAGTTACGATAATGTTGTCAGGTCATTAAAGATTGCATATTTTGGCTTTAATATTGATTCACTCATAGGGTCTTTGCATCGGAATTAACACATTTATTCTAAAACCAGTTGTAGGCATGACACGGGTTATGTTCTTCTCATATATTTTATGACGGTATAATACTAAACCCCTAACAGGAGGGATTGTGCCTGATATTCATATGATGAAGACATAATCTTTCAATCAGTTTAATTGAGGTCTGGAGCTGGCATGTCAGTAACTGCTAGTAGTCTGTTGTTATTTATGTATTATTGTCATTTTGTTTATTTTCTTGTTTCCTATTCTGACATCGGACTCGGACTTCTCTTATACTGAGTTTTACTGTGCATACTGTTGTGCGTTTGTTTTTTCTACATTGGCTAGAGGTAAAGGGGGAGGGTTGAGATCTCAAAAAATATGTTTAACCCCGCCGCATTTTTGCGCCTGTCCCAAGTCAGGAGCCTCTGGCCTTTGATAGTCTTGTATCATTTTTAATTTTAGTTTCCTGTGTATAATTTGGAGTTTAGTATGACGTCCATTATCACTGAACTAGTATACTTATTTGTTTAAGGGCCAGCTGAAGGACGCCTCCGGGTGCGGGAGTTTCTCGCTGCATTGAAGACCCATTGGTGGCCTTCAGCTGTTGTCTGCTCTATGGTCGGGTTGTTGTCTCTTTTACACATTCCCCATTTCCATTCTCAATTTTACTCACAGTTACTGAAATCTAGTTCAACGTCAACTACAACTTAATAATTCATATTCTCCCGAACTTACTTATAAATATAACTATAAAGAATTATTATTATTAATGTTGTGAGTTTTGTTGACGTTGTTCATTCACTTTGTCTTTTGAGACAAGTAGCAATTGTTGACTGTTTTTACTATAACATTTTTCGGCATTGGAATTATGTTGTTGCTCCCGCAGACAAGATCCAAAACAAAGTAATGTGTATGAAAATCGAATTATCTGAACTGCTTTACAAGGAGTCGAGTATTAAGAATTCCCTTGGAAATTTGGCATGCAAATACCTTAATTAACAACACAAACTTAAGAGGAAGTTCTGAGACAATATGTTTTAAATATTTCACCAATAGATGAATGACTATGATTTTGCTAGAGTTCCATATGCTAGATAACTGAATAACATAAGTGTCCTTACCTATACCATTTTATTGCTGGATCTTTCACCTGCAAAACATCTGTCCAAGTCATTTCTCTAACTCTATATTCTGTATATTGATTCACAGTCCCCAATCTTCTGCAGTACTCAGTAGTATTAAATCATTAAAACCCCCTTTTACACAAGTATTCCTCATTTTAATTTGAAGGCCACTTATTTGAATTTTGTTTCATTTGAAAAAATAGGACTTCTTGTACTTTGAAATATATTTATGTCTGTTTAATCTGAGACCAATACATATTAGCCCACGATCTATTTTCAAATCAAATTTTATTTTGAAGCGATCAGTTGGTAAATTTGGAAATTTAAATTGGGTATTGATAACAATTGATGAACTAGCACATACATTGTAGTAATCAGTAACGATGAAAAGATGAAAATTATACATATTATATTGAATTATTAAACTTGGGAATATAGTATATATAATGGTTTGTAGTCATATTCGCCTAAAATGTTCATTGATAGAATTGAGAATGGAAATGGGGAATATGTCAAAGAGACAACAACCCGACCAAAAAGCAGACAACAGCCGAAGGCCACCAATGGGTCTTCAACGCAGCGAGCCGGAAAATCCCGCACCCGGAGGCGGTCCTCAGCTGGCACCTAAATAAAAATGTGCACTAGTTCAGTGAAAATGGACGTAACAATAAACTTCAAAACATATAAATGAACTAAAATTTAAAAAAACATACAAGACTAACAAAGGCAAGAGGCTCCTGACTTGGGCAGGCTCAAAAATGCGGCGGGGTTAAACATGTTTTGTGAGATCTCAACCCCCCCCCCCCCCCCCCCCCTATACCCCTAGCCAATGTAGAATAAAGAAAAAACAGCAATACGCACAGTAAAACTCAGTTCAAAAAGAAGTCCGAGTCCGATGTCAGAATTGGTAACAAAAGAAACTAAGCAAAATGACAATGATACGCAAATGAACAAGGGACTACTAGCAGTTACTGACATGCCAGCTCCAGACCTCAATTAAACCGATTGAAAGATTATGTCTTCATCATATGAAAATCAAGTACAATCCCTCCCGTAAGGGGTTTAGTATCATACTCCATAGATGTATAAACCCTGGGTTTATACATCTATGGATATGCCATCATAAAATATATGAGAAGAACATAACCCGTATCATGCCAATACTGACTGGTTTTAGAATAAATGTGTTTATTTCCGATGCAAAGACCCTATGAGTAAATCAATATTAATACCAAAATATGCAATCCTTAATGACTTGACAACAGTATCGTAACTATATCCCATGTTTCCGAATAAGTCTAAGTTAAGATTTTCCTATGCGGTCTTAGTCTAACCACAGAAAAAAGCATAAAAATTCCCTTAACAATGTCATAAAAAACTAAGAGTCTACAGTAACATGTTAATTGTCGTAACCACAATCCCGTCCTCTCCCTCAATTGTGACATCACTGAATGAGACTCATCACCGAATGAAACTCATCACTGAATCAGTACTTCAGAAGCAACACAATGCCGGGGTGCCCTAGTGGAGCAGGATCTGCCCCTCTGGAGCTTCTGAGATCACCGTCCAGTTTTCCTTTGTTGGGATTGTCGCTTAATCTCTAGTTTTCATATATATGTTATGTAATGAGACCGAAGTACAAGACATAAAATATAAACCCCTGGTAAAACTTACTAACCTTGCTGATGAGACAAAAAACGTTGTTGTTTTTTTTGTATTAGACGGTCTTTAAAAAATATAGGATGAAAATATAGCTTCATTTTCGTTCAATTAGGATACCAATTTGCTAAGTCATATTTTAAAATTTGCATAGGAACTTAATCAAAAATCTGTATTCTTACAAAAAACTATTCCGGAAAATCACGAATAACCGTTCTCGGTTCGGAGCCTCGAAGTGGCAATGACAACAGCAGAGATGCAATGGCAGATCACTTATCGTTGTGCTCGGATAACATGAAGGATTCAAGAAGTATTAACGAGTCTCCAACGGATATATGTGATGAAAACAACCAGGATATTAAAGATGAACTTGAACCTGGATTTATCGAGGAGAGATTTCGTGTTGACAGAAAGAAATTGGAGCAAATGCTCCAAGGTAGGTCGATCATTTGTCAATATTGAAAGTAAAAGTGCGAGGACTTCCGAATTTTTGCATATTTGTAAACAATTGAAAGTAGAGTCAAACCCCCTTACGAACCCTACACACCGTCTGACAACAGCATTTGCACAATTGAAAATCATTCTAATAAACAAAATTCTATTATTTGAACTACCAGTTTTCATACCTGCCAACCTCTGAAACCTTCTAAGAGGGAGATCTCCCTCTCAGCTATGACAGCTGACGGGGAGATTTTGCGCGAACGACATTTTCAAGTGAAATATATGACGTGTTTATTTATTCATCTACAAAACACATATAAGAGTTAACAGATATACTTCTTCTTCTTCTTCTTCTTCCGAATACGGGAGTAGACTCCTAGGTAGGAGTGTAAAACTTCCCGGAACTTGTGTGCTATGTACATATGGACTTAATTTAAAAATAATATGACAAAGAAAAATCATTAACAATAACATATATACATTATGTACAGTGGCTTTGTAGTTTAATAAGTTGTTGTGGCTCCTTCAAATGTTAGAGTGGATATGCCACTTTTGAAGGATTCCAGGGTGTCAGACATACCTATTGCTTCAGGTAGTGAGTTCCAGTCCGAAATAGTGCGAGGATAAAAAGAAAATTTATAGAAATCTTTATTTGTTGATATTTGCCTAAATTTATGTTTCCCCCTAATATGTCTATCAGATATTGTTAAATTGTCCTTAGGAACTTCCACTAACCCCCAATTTATTTTATATAGCATAGTTAATCTAGCTTTTTTCCTTCTTATTTCTAAATTTTCCCATTCCAATGATTTAATTAAATTTGAAACTGCTCCAGGTGATCTGTCTTTATAATCATTGAAGACAAACCTGGCTGCCTTACGCTGTACCTGCTCAACCTGAGTGATGTGTTGCTTTTTGTACGGATCCCATACAGGGGAAGAGTATTCGACGACTGGACGGACAAGTGATGTGTACGTAAGGTTTTTAACCTTACGTGTGCAGTTTTTTAAGTTCCTACGAAGAAAACCTAAGGTTTTATTTGCCTTACAGGTAATATTGTTTATATGTGTTCCCCAATCAAGATCATGGCTTATAGTTACGCCTAAATATTTACTATCTTTTACTGCTTCTAAAACATGATTGTGCAATATATAATCAAAAGTGGAAGGTTTACTTTTTTTAGAAATATGAATAACATAACACTTCTCAGGATTAAAATTCATTTGCCAGTCCTCTTCCCATTGTACTAAACTAGATAAATCTTTTTGAAGTAATTTGGCATCAGAACTATTATTAACATTTCTATACAATAAACAGTCATCTGCAAAAAGTCTTGCATTGCAAGTTACATGTTCGGGTAGGTCATTAATAAAGAGTAAAAATAATGTTGGGCCTAAAACTGTTCCCTGAGGGACACCAGAATCAACAGCTAATTTTGAAGATTTAACACCATTTAATAGTACCTGCTGTTGCCTGTCAGCTAAAAAGTCATTTATCCAATTTAAATTTTGATTCCTAATACCATAAAAGTTTAATTTCTGGGCTAATCTTTGATGGGGGACTTTATCAAAAGCTTTGGAAAAATCTAAAAGTATAACATCTATTTGGTTACCATATCCCAATGATTTTATACTATGTTTCTTTAAATATGGTTATATCCTACAGAAGGTGTGTTGTTTGTTTCTTTCCTATTTCATCATCTTTTACATTTGAATCCAATCAGGACAACTTTTCACCCCAGATCCCTCTGTATGATACAGAGTGCAATCATGTTGCTTCAGATGGTGCAATAAGTGTGTGCACTCATATAGTCCACTTCAATTGGTTCAATACATATCTTATAAATTTCAATATAAACATTGAATAGAAGTAGAGATCTTCTAAGATATTTTTAAATATAATTATTTTTTTTGTCTAAAGGCATACAAAATCTTTTAATTGCCATCCTTTTATGATTCTTTGTTTAATTTTTTTTTAGTTTATATTGTTTTATCAATTCACATTATTTAAAGAAGAGGTAACTCAAAACAGGATTAAACAGGGGAAGTAACCCGAATTTTCTATGAAGTATAACACATAGCTTTAAGCAAAAGTCGTTAATGATCGTTAATTAGTACTATGTTTGACACCCAAGCTGTCAAGTGAAGCCATTTAGTTTCACATGGTCTGTGATTTACAGGTAAAAACAAACCTCATCAGAGACACAAAAACGTAATTATTGTTGACTTGTCATTCAAGGTTGAAATATCCAAAAGCGGGAGATTCTATACTCCCGCGCGGGAGATTTCCTGAATTTCGCCATTTGAGCGGGAGTCTCCCGCTCAAAACGGGAGGGTTGGCAGGCATGAGTTTTAGAAATCTCAACAGAGATTATAATATTTTTTTCTCTGGCATACATTGTACATGTATGATGATAAGTTGAGACGAATTATACATTTATACTATTCGTCTAACTTTAACCAAGAGCAGACTTATATATAATTACCATTGCTTTCTCACCACAAAAACTAATTAAATGCATTCAACTTGATATGAAGTTTTATTAAACATATTAATCATATATTTTGAGATACAACGAAGATATAAAAAGTCTAAGACAGCACATCTTTAAAATTGAATTAGATATCTGAAAATCAGACAAAATTGTACCTGATTGTTATAGGAAAGTTAAAGACATAACAATAAATTACAAGCTGTTGAAATTTACAACACCAATCATAAATTTGATAAATGATTTAAGAAAGTTCATGATCATCCAATTAATAGAATGTATTTTTCCTTGCATCAGGCCACCAACAAACCCCTCAGAGGGTTGTGCAACGGTTCTTAAATGTACTGAGACCGTGGCACTCTCACTACATGCACATGAGGCATTGGATTTATGTCCCCTTTCCAACCGAAACCTAAGCTACATGTACATGTCGCTGCAATGGATGTACAAATGTATACATCCCAGATAGCCAAAGGGACACCTTTAGATCTCCTAAGAATATACATGTACATGTATAAGTTTTACTGCCAGATTCAAGAAGTCCAGGAATAAATATATAATTAACATTCTATCTATTTTTGTACTGTAGTGAAACCATACAGGCTTCTCACTAGGATATTTTTTAGGGTGACTCCTGGGAGTCATCACTTTTTAAAATGAGTTCCAGCTTGTTCTGATGAGTCCATATAGTCCAGTTACTCAACAAACACAAGTAGTTCTTATCAGAACCGTCTTAATTACCTTACAGTACTTCCTTGAATGGGAGGATCTTTCATAACACTGGATTGTTCATTATAGTACATCATGTACATGTATATACAATAAAATTGAGAATGGAAATGGGGAATGTATCAAAGAGACAACAACCCGACCATAGAGCAGACAACATTTATGTATATTTATGTATATTTGCTAAAAAAAATGTAAATGTAGAAGCAACACAATGAAAAAATATTCCCCTCCCCTTATATACAGTATGGATTTTTCTCATTGTTGAAGGCCATACATGTACTATGACTTACAGTTGTAAACAAGCTCTCAACACATCTCCTTATATTTATACTATGATAAAGTAATTAATTTAAATGCAAATGTTGAAAATTATTTGTTCACTGAGTTATACAATCTTAAAAATAAAAAAAGATGCAGTTTGCAATTTATATAGACATGTATAAAGAATACAGATTCAACCTATAATGACATACATGTATGAATGCTAATGTATCTGTTCTTCTTTAATCCAACATTTGTTACAGAAGGAAATGCCTGTACCAAGTCAGGAATATGACAGTTATTTTCCATTCGTTTGATGTGTTTGAGCTTTTAGATTTGCCATTTGATAATGGACTCTCTGTTTTGAATTTTCCTTGGGGTTTGTGAATTGGTATTTTTGTTATTTTACTTTTTTTCTGTAATACATGTACAATGTACTTACATTTTTTATATGCTTTCAAATTGCAAATTTAAAAAAGAATCACAACTGAATTAAAAATGAGGAGCTGTATCAAAATGTACAGTATATTGAAATTGTAACGAGAAATTAATGCTACGTTATACGCCCATGTACAAATGTAAGTCAATATACTAATTAAAAAATCAAACTGTCCCTGACATGCACCAATTGAAAGGAACAATACCAATTTCACAATAATCAATTCGTTCTTGTATCATCTGTTGAATCAGTTGCAACATGATGTTAAAAATTACCATATAAATTATACCAATTGCAATGCAAAGGGGTTTTAGGGGGTTCATTCTTAATTGGCAATGTGTATACATTGTACATATTCATGTAAAAAGGTAGATACATATGTATAAACATGTACATGTATGTTTATCCCTGACACTTTTCCACTTAACTATGGGAAACTCCTATCTGTCCTTAAAAGCAATTTTCCCATTGATTGATCTGTTAATTATTTTACCAGTCAAAGTAACAAACTCTTAGTGGAATTTTGTTAAAAACTTTGTTCATGTAAATGTATTAGTTTATTAGTGTGTAAAATGTTTCTGATGTCAGACATAGATAGGGAATTGAGATATTATCACACCTGCTGATTCATATTATAGTAGAATATATCCAACTTCATATAGTAATCACATGTTTTGCATAGAGCTTGGTAGTGCTGATGCTGATGCACTTGTATGAATAAAAGGAAATGTGGGGTATTTATACATGTACATGTACAGTATACTGTAAATCAATCAGACAGCAACCCAATGTCACAAAACACAATAAGATATAGAGGTAACATGTTCCAGCATTTTCTATAGCTTTCTACTTACAATGTACCTTTAGCAACATAAACAGTACCAATTTAATTATATCATTAAGCATGCTAAGTAATATAATTAGGTGTCAAATAAAATTTCAAATTTCTCATTTTCTTTTTGTCAAATACAAGTTGTTTTGCATTGAACAGGTTTTTATTTGAAATATTTGAAATTTCTTATATGCAACATTTGACAAAAATAGTAGTGTAAGGAGCCTGTAGTAGTGTAAG